ATTTTATAGTTTGATTCAATTATTTTATATGAACAAACCACCTTAGTGTACTTAACAGAATAACAGAGTTGGAAGGGACCCTGGAGGTCTTCTAGGCCAACCCACTGCTCAGGCAAGAAACCCTGTACCATTTCAGACAAATGGTTGTCCAATCTCTTCTTTAAAACTTCCAGTGTTGGAACTTCTGAAGGCAAGTCGTTCCACTGATTAATTGTTTTCATTATCAGGAAATTTCTCCTTACTTCTAGGTTGCTTCTCTCCTTGATTAGTTTCCATCCATTGCTTCTTGTCCTGCCTTCAGGTGCTTTAAGGAATAGCTTGACTCCCTCTTCTTTGTGGCAACCCCTGAGATATTTGAATGGTGCTATCATGTCACCCCTTGTCCTTCTTTTCATTAAACTAAACTAATTCCTTCATGCTGATCATTCACTTCTGTATCCAATCCACATTCATTTAGCATCTTCTTATTCTTGATCTTGTCTCTACTTTTTCTTTTACATATAAAATTCTTAACAATCCTTGTAACAGAACTTGCAAAAAAAAAGCCCTTTTCATTTTCCACCTAAATTGGGAAGGAATAATGCTGTCCTAATTCAGATGTTTACCACCAAATACTGATAGAACAAAATTTGGGGGAATTTTGGAGATATCAAACAGGGAAAGAGTCGAAGATTACAATAACTTGCAAGAAGTTGCCCATCTTTATGTTATTGTACTGTGTGATCTTGATCAGTCTGTTGCCTTTAATTCTTTCAGGACCTTACACTGGAATGAATGATTCTAGATTCTAAATTCTAAACCCAAAATTAAAAAAAAGCTATTGAAGCATTTGCAAAACCTGTGAAATCTAGACATTGGGCCCACAGACTTTATAATTTTCACATTCAGTTTACTGACAGTTATCTAGATTTCAACAATTCATAGATTAAGCCTAATGGAAAGCATTGTATAATGTGTTTATTGGGAAAAGGACAAATGATCTGGATGGATTGCAACCGTAGCATGATCTACTTGTGCTCACCAAAGCTCCGCAGTTTAGATGAGTTAGAAGAACAAGAGATGCACCTTTCTGACATCGCCCAACATGACCCAACAAGAGACCTGATCCTCTTCAACCAGCAGCGCCTGGCAGAGATAGAGCTTTCCAACCAACTAGAGAGAAAAAAGGAAGAGCTCAGGATTCTCTCTAAGAACTTAGAGATAGAGAAGAAGAAATCAGAAACTGTACTCTATTCCATGTTGCCAAAACATGTGGCTAATCAGCTGAAGGAAGGCAAAAAGGTCGAAGCAGGTATGGCAATTTTATTACCTTTGATTATCAAATAGAAAATGGCATGTCGTAAAACAGGAAGGGTAAGGAATTCAGCTGAATATTTGGAAACACTCCCTTCAAAGCTAAGATTCTGTGTGTTTGGACTTGGTTTTCATAGAGGTCTGGTTTCCTGGGAACCAAGTGAAATCGGGTCATATATTTAGCACACAGATATTTCCCATAATGCTTACTTTTCAGATAAGTACAAAAGTAAACTATGTGCAGGATCATAATTTTAAGAAAAATGATAAAGACCATTGGTTTGACCTGAAGCTTGCTGCTTCAAAAGGGTGGACATGCAAACATTACTTTTTCAAAATCATTCATCTGTTGTCTAGAGTTTTGCATGCTATTACTTACATATTTATGCGAATTGTGTTTCTTTGTTCAAAACTTTGTTCTGAAGTAGATTTTAGAAGGAATAAAGGAAAGACTTTCAGCCTCATGTGTGTTCTGAAATGACACAAGAATTTGTTTCTTTGTCCATCAACTTATTTCAATTAAACCTAACATCTAACCCAATGGAGTCCATCCATCAATATATACACCTTAATAATATATTAATGAAGTGAGAGGTCACATATGCTGCGATTTCTTTTCCAGTTTTTAGTAGGATTCAGAGAAGTGGCAATAATAGCTAAAAGTCCTTTTCCATTAAACATTGTTGGACTTGGGGCTTATTCTTGCCACATCAAAAACCAAAAACAGAGTAAGTGTGGCTTCTGAAAACTGACTATTCTTTTTTCATTTGTTCCCCAGGAGATTTTAGCTGCTGCACAATACTTTTCAGTGATGTAGTGACTTTCACAAATATCTGTTCTGTCTGTGAACCTATTCAGATCGTGAACATGCTTAATTTAATGTATTCAAAATTTGATCGACTGACTAACATCCATGAAGTTTATAAAGTAAGTGTGGCTGATCTTTATAACATTTGCTACTGTCTTTTGTAGCCCAAGGGCATATGGTGAATGGATGGATAATTTTAGATTGGCAGTAATAAGGGAGAATTAATCCTGAAAACCATCAGCTTCCTAGACCAACATCTAAACTAGAGATTGCCAAGGTGGCGCAGTGGTTAAATGCAGCACTGCAGGCTACTTCAGCTGACTGCAGTTCTGCAGTTTGGTTGTTCAAATCT